TGGGCGTGGGGAGGGGGACACTCCCTCCAAGCAATAGCCGCCTCCCTGTCCTCCACGCCAGAACGGATTAACGGTAATTACATTGAACCAAAATTTCCTTCGGGTTGCGACCAATTTGGGGTGCGACCAGAGTCACGGAATGAATTAAATTCGTAACCCGAGGTTCCACTGTAGTACCATTTTTGGGGGTGAGATTTTTTCTTATCTTTCTTTTTCTTCATTTTCAACATTTATAAACAATATATAGTAGAAATTTTGGCATTAAACTAAAAAAGCTTTACTTTTTGATATCGTAAAAATAATATATTCTGGTTGGAACTTTTACTAATGTTATGTTGAGTATTGATTGCGCAACCTCAGTAATGATCTGTTTTTTCATAGATAATAACGTTTTGGAAACGAGACCTTTAAAACAAAACAAAGGTTTAAACAAAAGGATTATAATAGGCCAAAATAATAATAAAACAAGCACTGAGCACTGCTGATGTACTTTTTACAAGAGGGAAATGAATATATGTCTCTTTCTATCTATACTTGTATATCTGTATATGCTGTATCTTTGATAAATAAGGGTTTTTTTAATGGAAAAAAAGAGAGAGTGAGTGGAATGGTTTGCAATTTGCACATTCCCTTGTGTCTCTCGTATTAATATAAATATACACCCCAATCTTTTCTGATCTCAGGGCCACCCAGTGTGGTTCCATAGTTGTTGACATGAAGCAGTTAGTTGACTCTCCTCCTGCACCTTCGAATGGTTTAGCAGATATTCCATGTGCCTATTTGACAGCTGGTCACTTTCTAATAAAGTCAGTTTCTGACTATATTCTCTCTATAAATGTTTCTGTTTCATTCTATAAACCATCTGCAAACCAACTGTCTTTCAATCTTCTTTGAATAATGTAAACGTTCCTGTGATTACTCTGATCTTCTTAAAAATATCTCTCTCATTGCAATGTTCTTGCTACGCTTTTGCATTGGTTGGCATTCGAGACTGAAATATCTTTCCTTGTCTTTTTTTTGCTTGATGGGGAAGTCTTCCTTTAGTCCTTGTACAACTTTGCTGTTTCCCAGTGTTTTCATTCCCCATTGTACCCACAACAACTTGTTCTAAAAGGATCTTTTCCTTTTTGAAATTTTGGGGATTTTTTTTCAGTTCAGTTTTGCAATGTGGCACTTGTGGTCTTGCCTGTTTGGACCCCCTTGCAGATAATGGCAATATCTCTTATCTTTTTTCTTAGTTCCTTAGATTCATTTTTGCATAAGAACAGTACAAAAACTCACTTTTACATTGATTTGATATTTTGACTGTATGGTTCCATATCAAATCTTACTAGGATACCTACTTGCTTTAATTGGAAAGTGTGGAGTGTTAGCTGTTTTATTTTTTTTTCCTCCCCCCCCCCCATTTTTTGTATTTATTTGAAAAATATTTATAGCCATCCCCTTCTTTAGAATACCTTATGGCAGGAGGAGGAAGAGGAGAAGGAGGAGGAGAAGGGGAAGGGGAAGGGGAAGGAGAAGGAGAAGGAGAAGGAGAAGGAGAAGGAGAAGGAGAAGGAGAAGGAGATTTACAAGCAGTATAAGACTGCATACAAATTTCAGAGTAACATTAGGTTAATCCTGCGATTAAAGCATCTTGTAAAACTTCAGAACATTATTCAATCAATACAGGTAATCCCCAGGTTAAGAATGCCTGATTTACGGATGACCCATAGTTAAGAACGGAGCCTATTGTAGCAAAATTTGAGTTAAATACACGATGGTTTGAGTTCATTACACAATGCTACTTATATAATATTATACAATAATACTCTTCCAGCTTACATACAAATTTGACCTTGGGAACAGAACTCATTCTTAAACTGGGGACTACCTGTATGCAAAATTAACAATAGTCAGTATAATATGAATCATAGATTGAACTGAAGAATTAGGAAAAACAGAACCTAAGGATTCTGTCCTTATTTAGTGAATCAAATAAAAGCTTAGGTATTAAAGTCTTATGTTAAGAAATACCCAAACTTTGTATGTTGTGCAAGTTCATTCATTTGATGTGGTGCTCAGGAGATAAGGAAGCCACCCCACCTTGGGGGAAGTCAATCGACCTCAAGAGCAGGAGCTTCAGAACTCAGATCTGAAAAATGGCGGTGGCAAATCACTTCTGCATGGTTGGCAAGTGGCTGTACACTTTAGACAAGTTTGGGGGGCAAGTGATGACATCTTCCAGTTGGAAGGCAGTCCTCTAGCTGTGGAGGAAGAATGTCAAACTTTCACAGGTAGCTCTGAAAGGAAAGCCATGGTCAAACAGAAGCTGTAAGGAAGTCTAGTCCCTGGCGGTGCCAATACTGAAATAAGACTTTCTCATTTTACAAGGGCATATGCCATTGGAGCTTGCAAATGTGAGAAGGATAACTTGATGTTACCAAAGTGGAAATGAAACACGTTCAATTAGATGCTTTAGGATCAAGTGATTTGAAGTGGATTAGAATTCCTATGATTATATCATATACTATGTAGGACAAGAGTCTATAGGAAAGAAGGGAATGGCAAGGACACTCAGAAAGGACACCACTACATTTATGGTTGGCCATAACCCAATATCACCAGGATCATATCTATTAGAATTAACAGATATCCAGTAATCAGACTTCTGTATGTGTGTGTGTGTGTGTGTGTGTGTATCCAACATACTACAAACTAGGGGTTCCAAGTCGTGAGACATTCTTACAGAACAAGAATGGTGAGTTTCAAGTAACAGTCTTGTTTGTTGCCTTGGTCAGGTAGAGAAGCGAGGAACCATTTACTTATTTTTATTTTTAAATCAATTCATGTGGCTGTCTATTTTGCAATTCTATTTTCCTTGAAGATATAGCAGCTATCCGATCAAGTGCTAAGTTATCCATGCTATGACAAGGCAATATGACCCCCACATGCTCCTAAAATCTTCCTTTGAGTTTTGTTTAAATTGAGTGAAAAAATATATGTAAAGCTGGTCTGCTATCAAGGGCCAGCAGGCAGCGCCTTCTTTATTCCAGATGTATCCACCAGCTCAAAAAAGGGTTGCCTGCTCCCTTCTCTGCCCCCCACCCCCCAATGTGGCAGGCAGCATTGGAAGCAGAAGACAAAAGTGTAGCTACTGTGACTTGGCAGGAGAAGGGTTGAAGCATGAACTTTCTCAACAAATGAGTTATTTTATTCCCCTTCTTAAAAGCTTCTTGTACTTCCATGTACAGTGGTACCTCGGGTCACGAACTTAATTCGTTCCGCAACTCTGGTCGTGACCCAAATTGGTCGCGCCCCGAATCAAATTTTCCCATAAGGTTCAATGTAAATATGGTTAATCCGTTCTGA